TTCCCTGGTGAATGCATCCACAGCATCTGCTGCCCTTTTCATAGCATCCACCATATCTTCTTCTCGTGCTAATTGTAGGTTGTCTCCTAGTCATAAGAGTCAAAAGTGAAAGAATTCTGTTAAAGTCAAATCAGATAAATATTAACCTGTGATATTTACTCTTAGAAAGCAGCCAAAAATATGTAGTAAAGCAACATACCAAATTTACACCAAGATTCTTTTTTGTACTGGGTTAAGCTGTGGTGTGAAGGTAATAATACTAGTGCCTGATAATGGCATGGGAAATTATAACTGTCCAGTAAACAGGTAATGAGAATACTCAGACTTATCAGGTAGAAGTTATTACTGTATCTTGATGCAACACCAAATTCTCATAACTAATTTTCATGGAAATGTGTAGCAGCTGGAGAGGAGACTTAACAATCATATTTTGGGAGTTAAATTAATTTTACAATTATTATACAAAATTCCCTTAGTTAACATATACTGACTTGTAAAACAAATTCTTAAAACACTCACCGCAAAAACGCTCTATGAGTATAGGCCGAGAAGTTGTGGGTGCCATTATTAGCAAATCCGACCCTGTGCTTCCAAATTTTCTTTTCACTGTCATAACAAACGCACATAAAATGGTAAGAAGAGTTTGAGAACATTGATAATTATGGTCATTATTGCATCTATTATTGGAGTATGAAGGTTGTCATGGGGTACCAAACATAGCATAATGAAACATAACAGAGACAATGAAACAACAGGAAATACTGGTTGGCTCATTTCTGCAGAAAGTGAAACAATTTATTTGAAATACATCCTGCAAGGGAACAGGAGATCAACCCTATCAAAGTCCTTTAATAATGAAGAAACATATCTATGCACACACTCTTCACATTACACAATATCACAATAAAATGGAAATATTCTACTAAAATATTGATGTTTAGCTGGTTAAATTTTAGGGAAGTTTTTAAACTTTGACCTTTTGTTGTCTTTTATCTCCAAAAAAACTAAAGTGTGGACAGTTATTCAATACCTTCTCTCCCAGATTTTGAGTTTTCTTTTGTTATCCAAAAGTATGCGTTTCCATTACTTCTGCGTAGAATATTCAGAATCCTGATGATTTGATAAAGGGAGAAACATCTTTGATTAATAATTTAATCACTACATAATGTGAAATACAGCATGTGTGCATTGCACAATGGATATGGAAAAATCTTGAATACCTCTGTGATGTTTATTGAATGATCTTTGTGCTTTGAATTTTAACATAATGTATGATTGTAAACATAGAAACCAGTCAGTTGGGGCCACTTTCATTCTTAAAAAATTGTCATGTGGGCATACATTGCACTAGGTCGCCATGACCACCACTGATGTCACCCCTGTGACTTGAAGCAATATCCACATGAAATTTTAAGCCACTGTTCATGCCATGTGTATCTTAATGAGGAAAAGATATCTGTTGAGTGTGATCTACAGCATATTTGTCATGGTGACTCGGTGTAAGAAAAAAGGCTGTTTTAGTAGAGTGCAGGGTGCTTTTAGTAATAAAAATAACCTTAAGAATCATTGATAGTCACCTTATCACATCAGGGATGTTGTCACCTTTGAGGATCACTATGACCATGCTCCTCCTGTCGGACCTGGCCTGGTGACACATCTAGATGCACAAATTTTATAGATTAAAGTAGAATAAAATTTAACATATAGCCTTAACATGTCAAATTTTACATTGACATGTCATTTCTTTTGTATAATGGCACGACACAGTGCATTGTAATAATGCATAGAATAGGATTATATGTCAGATAGAGAAATGAAAGTTGATCATATTAAGCAAAAAAGTAACTTAAGTATATTTTTCCAAAAGGGTCTGTTCCAACATAATGACCAATTTAGATTCACAAAAGTTTACAGGCTAATTTTTTTTTCAAATGTGATTGTCAATACATGTTACTTGTCAGTAATTTAACACATTGACACATGGGTATGCTAACTGTATTTACTATAAACATTTTACCTAAAAATTGCAAGCTATATGGGCAAACATATAACAGGAACTAAATTGACTGCCATGACACCCTTTAACTCCCATGAGTGACCTAGACAGAATTTATCCTTACAATATCAACACAGCATCAACCAGATAAGTGATGAGAATAAAGAAAAATATCAATTTGGGAATAATGAGTTGATCCAATACTAAATTCCCTGAACTAACATGACAAGGATTGTATGGTTGACAGTAAGGAGAATTACAAATTTGATCTAAGAGTTAAAGAGTTAACACAAACCTCCTCATATGTCAAGGTCAAAAAGATTGGCAGAAGAATGTCCTCGTGGGTTGATGCTGCCTCCATGAGCACATGTTCACAGGAAAGCACTTCCTGTGTTCTGTCCATATCATTCAATGGCACTACAAAATTATTATGAGTGTGGTTTACAAACAGTAATGGTATTCAATTGAACTGTCATCCATTAAGGATGTTTGTGCCAGAATCTTCCCCCCAGCTTTTTTTTTTTTTTTTTTAAACTTTTGTTGTAGTTTGCTTATGGCCAACTAATGCCTAAGAGTGTGTGAATGAAAGTAAAGGTATCTATTTCTCCTTTTTTCTTTTCACTAATAGTAAAATGCAATTGCACATGTTACTCATCAAAAGATAATCACCGGTTATATTGGTTTTGTATTGTTTTGTTTTTGTTTTGTTTTTCCTTTTACCTAATGAAGGGCAAAAAAATTGTAGTTTTGGATTTGAATTCCTGTTTTGTCTGTACTTAAACAGTTAATCTACCAGTGCTTATAGTCTACAGTGAAATGTGAACTGGGGATTAATAAAAGCTTTTTCAAAATATATTTAGCTGAAAATATGAAACAGATAGCAACATAAGATATAAGGAAGCCTCAGTCATGCATTTTAAGCTAGAATGCTGCTTTTGGCAAGATATTATTTTGTATCTAGTGGAAATTTTCTATTGTCATCATCCAGGGAGAGCTGTGCATTAAAGTGCATTGAATTATTGACAATATTTCCAACATACCTTGAGCATTCTGATTGAGAATTCCCAAAGAACTTTGGTCTTCTTTTACAATCCCAGCTGAAATGAAGTGGCATAAAATGAAATGAATATCAAGACATTAGTTGTTGTGCATTCCTTTATGCCACGAAACTGAATGAGTGAGTCAATCTGTCAGTCTATATCACACCATACTGTAGCATAGTAGAATGTTCTATTCTCCATTTACATGAGACACAGTTGTTCATCTCTTGAATTTTAATTAACACATTAAGTAATTAAAATTATGTTGAAGTTAATTCAACATTTGTTTTTCAAAGTGTATGTGTTTTATAATCCATTTTATAGAAACATACCTTTTTGCCACTGATGTATGCCAGTTAGATGACATGCTATGTTGAAAGGGAAAAAAAATCATGGAGTTAAAATTTTGTCTTTTTTTAAAAATTAATTTCTTTCATTTCTCACATAAATTTGGTTGATTTACTTCACACCTCATGTGTAAACTTGGCTTGGCCTAGGGTGCACAATTAAGTTGCCTCTTAAATGGAAATTTATGATACAATCGGAAATCATCCATGTAAACTACCTGCAGTAATAAACTAGATTTCTAGCATAATATACATGCAGTTTTCAGAAAATATCCATTGCCACCCTAGGGATTAATCCAAATCAGGATTGGGGTTGGGGTCTGCAAAAAAACGAGCATTTAAATGTTCTTTAATCAGTCATCATCATATTACCTGAGTCAACATTTACTGGGTTACTAGCTAAATAGCTTCTGTCGAGTTCATTGTCATTGACTTCATCTAAAGCAATGACACCATCTGTTCAAAAAACAACACAACACAGTTTCAGGTGTATCACACGATAATTATCTACGGCAGATGGGTCAACTGCTTCCACACAAGATGCAAATACAGGATTAAAATATAAATCATTAATAAACTTAATAACTAATGTGCCAATCAATTAAGCACTTACATTCACTTGTAGCAGGTATATTTATTGTCAAGAGCATGGGACAGAAAAAATCTGACTGCAGATGACATTGGAGCTTGTTACCATTTGCACTCTGGAAGGATACTATTATAACCACTAAACTACAGGAGGCTTGAGGTGAGCAAGGTCACTTAGTATTATGTCATCTCTTTAAGCTACCAATCTCTGTTACCATGGAAGAAAGTAGTTATCTTCCTTTTAATTTAATTGTTTTTGGTGGATATTATGCTATATCCTTATCTTTGAAGTTTCTTTTCTTTGTTAGATCATGTCTGTCTATGTGTTTTCTCAGCTCCTTCCAAAATGTTAGTTTTTCAAATCTCTCTTGGAACCCCTTATGAAAATTTTATGTTTGTTCAATGGAATCAGCAGGTGTTATTTATAAAGCCACATTCAAAACATCACAACTGGATTCATAGTCTACAATCTTACCATCTGAATCATCAATTTGGAGTGGATATACATCTACATGTAGAAGACAAAACAAAATACTCACATTTAGCTCAGTGCATAGGTTTTAAGCATTCCATAGGTGTGAAAGCCAAGTTTTATTCATACTTTAAAAAGAGGGAAGTGCTACATATGGCTTTTGAAAAAGTTGGCGTCTAATCATTCATTCATTGTTCAATCAAGTTCTTGTTTTCTTCTATCTCATGCAGAATATTGAATATACATTTGTGGGTAAAGTAGTAAAACTCACCAGCCCTGATTGAGTTTCTGGCCATCTGGGTAAGGTACCTTCTAGTTTCCCCTTAAAAAAAGTAAAAATTTGTATAGGCTAATTTTGCACAAATTGTTACAATTATCGTAACACTCCAGGCAAAATAATATAACTTAAGAATGCTAAATTTGTGTTGATTGAAAATCAAATTGTCAGACAAAAATCCCTTACACAACAGCATTGAAATTTCCCATCAGTTCTAAAATTAACACTTCTAGGAAAAGATACTTTAGGCAAAACTTACACTGTGCACTCACAAATTAGCATTTGTCTGTTGGATTTTTCTGTTTGAAGTGGCCAATTTCTTGATTCCATTTTTGTTAGTTTTTCATTATTTGTTGTGAAATCATTATTATGTGTAACTCACGTCCATTTGTTGGTAGAGATAAGCTGGATGCAGCTGGGGTCACTGTTGGCTGTCTGGAACTTGCATTGGTTACAACAGTTGCCATTGATGGGGATGCAGCATTGACTGTGGATAGATCAAAATGATAACATCAGAGGTAATTAAGCACTCTATGATAGCAGTCATTAGTTGCTTGATTCAGGTGTTGAAATCAAGGAGTAATGATGGTTTTCTTGTCACAAGCCAGGAAATTCTATGGGCACCACCTCCCCTATCTTCCCCAGCAGGGCTCGCAAAAATAAAGTGTTGATGAATTGTTAGGAAATTATGGACGCTTTGTTGTCACTGATGACATCTAATCTTTTAGAGGGTAATATTTGATTGGCTGATGTTTCTCTGTTGGTTAAAAATACATTTCTATCTTGTGGTCATGAGCAGTTTTTTTCTCCCTTTTTCCAATACCAACCCATGAAGGGTCCTTATTGGAAGTTCTTTAGGGAGGTGGGAAAGATGACAAAAGGTACAAATTTCAAGAAAAATAAGTGAATAATCTGATTTTTCCTGCCTGAAATACTCAAGTTGGAGACTAACATGTTAGATGCTTAAACTGGTGGCCTGAGAAATTGCTAGCTCTCTTTATTTGTGGGGAAAAAAGGCTTGTTCACACTATTTAAAAAGTCTCTCTTTTTGGTTTACTATGTTGATAATTCATTTGTTTCTATATTTAACTCACATCCAGTTGAAGGTAGGGACATGCTGGACACAGCTGGGGTCATTATAGGCCTTGTGGAACTTGAATTGTTGTGCTGTTGTGCTGTAAATAAATAAACAAATATCAGAAGTAGAACATAAACCATTAAGAATCCTATCTGGTAGGAGGCTGACCATTTGGCTAAGTACATACACTATGGGGTCAAAGGGTTAAACTCACAAACTACTGAGAAAAAATCCAGATAGCTAGAGGACTGGAACCTAGGACCACTAGATTTCAAATCTAGCACACTAAATCACTCAGCCATGCGGCCTCCTGACCTGACCTGTTAAAGAGTGTCATTATTAGTTAATTTTCTAAGCTTGTTTTGAAGTTGAAATGTTGAAATGGTTTGTTTTGAAGTTGAAATGATGTATTATTGAAATATTTAGTTCAATTTTATTTTACCAGTGACCTCGCCCCAATGCAAATACTTTTAGCTGGGGATGGAAACATGAATCAAATGTTCAAGAATTAATTTGCCTACTGTAGTCATATTGCCACACAAAATATATTCTTGTGTTAGAAAACTTAACTGACATAAGTGCGGCCTTTTGAATATGCTGATTTAGATTCAATGTGTCCTTTCCTTCAATTGGACTCTGTTAATATGTGTTGGCAAATTAACTAATTAAAGAACAAAGTCATCTCTCATTTAATTAATTTGCCTCAACACCATTTCAACGTTTCACATTAGACTAATATGTCAAATGCTCAAACTGTCATAGCTCATCATAATACTAAAAAAGTCTTTGTTTAATCTATGTTTATGAGGTTAGTTGCTTCTGTTTTACTGCAACTGCCATGACACTGTTTAATATTTAACTCACATCCATTTGTACTTGTAGGAAGAGGTAAGCTGGACACATCTGGGGTCATTATTGGCCTTCCAGACCTTGCATTAGTCACAATAGTGGCTGTATTGTTGGCTGTGGACGGATCAAAATGTTAAGATCAAAGGTAAGCAGTCAATAATAGCAGTCAACAGATGTTTGATTCAGGTGTTGAAATCGAGGAATAATGATAGTTTTCTTCATGTTAAGCTGGGAACCCTGTGGACCCCACCTCCCTTATCTGCTCTCAGAGGTATGGTGTTTAGACACCCTGTTCCCCATAAATAAGTTTTTGGGGGGGCGGGGTTGCTATAGGGCATCTTTTATCTTTATCGTATATTCTAAAAGGTTGGGATATAAATTGATTTTTTTTTTTTTTGAAAGAGGTCAAGAACTTTATATCGGGGGGTGAAGCATCAGTTAGCCTTTGGTATTTTTTTTCCTTTGGGTATAAATTGTGACTTTTTCCATCAGTAAGGGTGGTGTGTCTATTAAATGGAATGGTCCTCAGCAATTGATGTCTATCTTCACTGATTCACTGTTTGCCTGTTATGGAATGTTAAGTCAACTTACATCCACTAGAAGAGGCTGAACTAGTATTTGCTTGGCTGTTGGAACTGACAGCATTGGCTGTGGATGAATCGAAATGATAACATCAGTGGTAGCTATAATAATTGTGTTTTTACGTAAGATGTCAATATAGTTATTCCAGTATTGTATTAATTAGCTTCATTGGGTTGTTGTTTGCATGTTCATGGAATGTTAAGTCAACTTACATCCACCAGAATAGGCTGAACTAGTATTTGCTTGGCTGTTGGAATTAACAGTGTTGGCTGTGGATGAATTGAAAGGATAACATCAGAGGTGGCTATAATAATGGTGTTTTTTATGTCAGATGTCAATATTGATTCTAGTATTGTATTAATTAGCTTCATTGGGTTCTTGTTTGCATGTTTATGGAATGTTAAGTCAACTTACATGCACTAGTAGAGGCTGAACTAGTATTTGCTTGGCTGTTTGAATTCATGGTGTTGGCTATGGATAAATCGAATAATAAGATTAGAGGTCGCTAGAATAATTGTGTTTTTTACGTTTTTCTACGTTTCCTAGTGTGAAGATGGAAACTCTGCACCAATACATCACAGGCTGCTTTAAGGCCATAGTTCAGTTTGCTTTTTTGCAAGCCAAGAGGGAAAGTGGCCCATAAAAAAAGTATGTCTCCAGGATAAGGAATTGAAGGAATAGATGTGCTCTTTAAGAGGGAAACTTGTGAAAGTACATAATGTCTGTTGCAATTTCACGAGAAATATACTCGACAAAATTACTTGAAGTCATGAGCCAATTTCTTTAGAAATGAAATGTAAACTTTATCGCAGATCAAATAACAATGGCTTGAACGAACTTTCTTGGGTTACGAAGTACAAAAAGAAGTGGTTGGAGCGTGTTTAGAAGTGTGGGGAGAAACACTCACTCATGGCTGATTTTTCTTCTCACACTTTTCGACTGCACTTGTCACTTAGTTGTGTGCTTTATGGTCAAGGCTTTTGTATTAGTATTCAAAGTATGACATAATCATTTGACGTAGCTTATAGATCATAGTTAATGTTTATATAATATGCAATTAGCAGTCAAAGAAATACCAGGAGGGAGGTACAAAAAAACTTTCTTCTTTCTGTGTCCGCCAAAATGCTCTAAGATCTGGGCACCACTGGGAAGGCCGTCGGCCACCTTCATCATGGCATGGCCACGGGCATACGATTTAATAACTTCAAGACTGTGTAATGAAAAGAAAGGTGGAAGAAAATGTAAATTCAGTCAGAGCAGTGAGGATAACTTGAGTGGCATAACAGTGGAATAATGACATAATGAGACCTGTAAATGGGTCGAAGTAACTCTTTTTACATTTTGGAGGTATATGGTGTTAAAAAACAACATCTGATGAGAGCTATATCATCAGCAAAGATTAGGCATCATGGGCAAGGTGAGCAAAGGGTCCTACCCATCTCACCATGCGCACCTCGTTGGAAGACGACTAGGGAACGAAGCAGCCGCAATCTATTATGCTAATCGCTCTGACGAAGGGCTAACGCTCGAAACGTCAGCTTTTTTACCTTTTACGGTGGCTAATTTACGTTTTCAACCCAGTTGTTAACACTAAATTACCTGCTATACTCTCCCACCGACACAGCACCACAGTTTCTTTAGAAACTTACCCCTTTATTATTATTCAACTTCTGCTACATTAAAGGTGTCAAATAAATGATTTGGAAATCCTCGATTCTGCGTTGTTTCTTCAACTGTTTTTAGGCCTTTTCCCCCTTATTTTGCTGACTATCCTTTGCCTTGGTTATAACTGTAAGCGGCAACTGTGATTGACTGTTGTCATAAAAGCCGAGAAAGCTGTAGCGTTTCTGCTAAACGAGCTGTGGCGTCATGCTAAGGTCTTGTCATTTCGCGTTTGTGTCGTTTACAAGAAAGCTGCTTACTCTTAACTCAAACCATGGTGTTTTACTTAATGCGACTGCTATCTTCAAACTACGTTTCCTAGAATACTGTGAAGAATTGTACGTACCTTGCTAAGTCTTTCCCCGCTAAGGAAGGAAATGCGGCAGTCAGGTTGGTGCCGATGGCATCTGCGTCCTGGCTCTTTGAGAAAGAAATATCTCTTACTTTTCCCGTAGTCACCATTCGACCCAAATCAGCTTTGCTCGGTACAGCATTCAACCTTTTGTCTAAAAGGACAAAAGTTCTAGAAAGGGAACGAGTCGCGTGGCTCATGTTGACGATCTTGCCGATCTTGCCTGGTAAATCACAGGAGGACGAACAAAACAACCCAACGAGAAATCTGTGTCTGGCAACGCTCCGAAAGCGTGGGGTCAGTATGCGAGAATATAGAAAACTGATGCCACTTAATTAGTAACTTGAACGCCTTTTGTTATTTTCGGCGCGGCGTGTTTTAAAAGACAAAACTACAAAAGACTTTTATGGCAAGTAAGTGAATCAAGTCACTTATTAACTGTGCTGAAAACTGTAACAACTGTGCTGAAAACTGTCTTCAGGCAACTCTGCAAGCAGTCGTTCGCGTTATCTGGTCCTGAAATCGTACGAGCAATACGCTCGATGCATGATGCATCGGTAACCGGACGTTTCGCCTAACACCGCGGCCTACCGAAAAAAAGAACCCTCTACCCGTCTAAAATCATTACGTTCAGCCTTAAAGTTTTGATCTCCAGAAATGTTACAAGAATTTAGAGAACAAACTGTAATATAATCTCAACAAGCGCGCATTCCACAAGGTGCCTGTTCGCGGCTGGCCAGCTTGACTGTATTTTCCCCACCCAGAAGGAAGAGGAAATAGTAGACGGCTGCACACAGGCTAGTTCGCAGCCTACACACGACTTGTACTTTAAAGCGTCAAAAACAATGTTTCCCGATTTTCTCACGAAGGTGACAAGCCGTTCAACCAACTGAAAAAGTTCTACGTTTATTTCTGAATTTTTTATTTAACTACTTTATTAGAAGCTTGTCGAAAGGAAAGTGCGATCTTTTTTCCGCGTTTGTTTTTTTTTTTTAATATCAGCTGTATTTAGAGTTTCGCGGAAGGACTTTGCCTTGTTCTCTTTGCTTTGTAAAGTTAATGAATAAGTCAAAAGATGATGCAAAACAAGGTGTGATAACTTTTTCCTTTCCTTTGGAGCTATTGTTTTTCTGTTCCTCATTGTGTTGAGTTTTTTGTTCGGGTTTTCCTTCTTTGTTTTGTGACTTGTGAATTCCACAGGTCTCGCGCCGAAGACGAGCCCCAAAAAAGCTGCTACAACAGTTTCTTAGTTGTACTTTGCGCTCACTGTGAACTACGCTCTCGTAATTGAGAAGTCATGAATCTAAATGAATTTATAGATCTACAACGGGGTCCGCGTATGAACTTGATTCAGTGGCTACAACGGCGGTCTCTGTTGGCCGATACGCTTCGGTGTGCTCAATGTAACGAGGACATGGTACTGATACAGAGGAACGGCAATCATGTTGATGGGTACCTTTGGTAAGTCACTGAAGGGCATCTTTGAAAAATGCAAAAGGTCCGCGCAGTCTGTATTACCTCGCTCACTCTATTGTCCTCCTCCAATCTCTCATGATTGGTATTATGGCAAACTCTATCTGCAGAAGGTAATTTAGTGTTAACAACTGAGTTGAAAACGTAAATTGGCCGCCGTAAAGGGTAAAAAAGCTGACGTTTCGAGCGTTAGGCCTTCGTCAGAGCGATTGGAGTTCTGCAGAACTCTGTACAGTGAAACTGCAGTGTTACTTATAAAAATACCGCCATATACCTCCCACTCCTCCAACACGAATCGAATCGAGTGAGAAGGTCTGTTATGCCCGTATGCATTTCAAATTGCGTCTCTTTTTTTCCCTATTAATAGGCGCTGCAGCGGCTGTAAAAAGAAAAGAAGCTTGCGTACCAACAGTTTTTTCGAAGAGTTTCCCCGCGTGCCGCTGGGTACGCTGCTCCTTACAATCTACCATTTTGTCTCTGAAGATTCCCAGCGACAAACAGCGCGGAGATTAAACCTCAACCCAGGCCTAGTCTCAAAAATATACCGACGGCTGCAAGATGTGTGTTCAAGAGATCTGGACGAGAGGCCGTTCACACCATTTGGAGGACCAGGAGCCGCCGTTAAGTGTGACGAAAGCAAGTTTAATCACAAGGCTAAGGTAAGAATGCTAAATAGATGCCAAAAGCTCCAAGAAACACTGAAAAAAGCCGAGCATACCATTGCTAGTTTCTCGGGAATTTTAGAAGAAATCCTAGGTGGCTCAAAACAAATTCTACAAATTATGTCCTAAATACAGCTCAGCTCGTCGCACCAGTGTTAATGAGATAATTTTTTCCTTGGCAACCATGCAACACATTCACTCGGTCCTTTAAGTGGTCACAACCGTCATATTGAAAGAACAGGAATGTAAAATCGCCTCATTCTGCCATATATGTACGCATGAATATTCTTCAAAATATTTCGGGTAGAAAAATTCTGTCGGCCAGATTAAAAGCAAAAAAGATTTCCTTCGCCACCATTGCTTTCTACGGCTTTCTC